TAGACATAACACATATCAACAGAATATTAACGGCAGTATATGTGTAGACATAACACCATATCAACAGAATATTAACGGCAGTATATGTGTAGACATAACACCATATCAACAGAATATTAACGGCAGTATATGAGTAGACATAACACCATATCAACAGAATATTGCCAGCAGTATATACCAAACTAGCCAGAAGTCTTAGAAACCTAATCACTAGCAACCTAATCGTTAGAAAGCGAGATTCATTCTAGACTAAGCTTTTTCCAGCTTGTTATCCTGCGTCTAAAATAATGAGATGGTAAATTGCCAAAGCTTAGAGCTTAAAGCTGTACCAAGGCTTTTTAACTAGGTGAGAGGACTGCGTTTATTCCCATTAGACAAATAATAATATTCACCGATCTTAGAGGACTGACGCCCGGTATAAATTACAAATAAACACCTGATCTATCTCGAGCCACTTCACATGTTCTTTCCAATCACAAACTACGTTAGTTAGATTAACTGATGTCATTGTAGTTGAATATTACTACAGACGTTCAGCTGCTCAGGTAATAATTCAGGTAATGATAAGATGATATGTTGACCAGACCACACACTAGAAGTTGAAGAATGGTCCAGGACGGACCGAAACGTCGTCGTCCCTTCAACGTCTAGTGTGTGGTCTGGTCAACATACTTCAGCCACGTTATTGTGACTCATCGCCTGCATTAGATGATATATTATTACCAAGTTGCAATTGCTGGCTCTTGCAAGCCACAACCTACTTCATAGTCATGTCGGGGAAGGTATTCAGCTGCATGGAATGTTGATTGAATTCTCACTAGCCCTTCCATGTTGCTAATTAACTCAGAGTTCGTGCTCAATGTTGATGGCATCAGCTCAACCACCGCACCAGCTCTGGTGTAGACACTTTGTCTTGGAGACACTTTGTCTTGGAGACACTATGTCTTGGAGACACTATGTCTTGGAGATACTATGTCTTGGAGACACTATAGCTTGGAGACACTATGTACTCACCTAGTTGTGTTTGCGGGGGTTGAGCTCTGGCTCTTTGGTCCCGCCTCTCAACTGTCAATCAACAGGTGTACAGGTTCCTGAGCCTACTGGGCTCTATCATATCTACACTTGAAACTGTGTATGGAGTCAGCCTCCACCACATCACTGCCTAATGCATTCCATTTGTCAACCACTCTGACACTAAAAAAGTTCTTTCTAATATCTCTGTGGCTCATTTGGGCACTCAGTTTCCACCTGTGTCCCCTTGTGCGTGTGCCCCTTATGTTAAACAGCCTGTCTTTATCAACCCTGTCAATTCCCTTGAGGATCTTGAATGTGGTGATCATGTCCCCCCTAACTCTTCTGTCTTCCAACGAAGTGAGGTTTAATTCCCGTAGTCCCGTAATTATGTATTGGAGACACTTTGTCATGGAGATATTATGTCTTAGAGACACTATGTCTTGGAGACACTATGCCTTGGAGACACTTTGTCTTGGAGATACTATGTCTTGGAGACACTATGTCTTGGAGACACTATGCCTTGGAGACACTTTGTCTTGGAGATACTATGTCTTGCAGAGACTATGCCTTGGAGACACTATGCCTTGGAGACACTTTGTCTTGGAGATACTATGTCTTGGAGACACTATGCCTTGGAGACACTTTGTCTTGGAGACACTATGTCTTGGAGACACTATGTCTTGAAGACACTTTGTCTTGGAGTCACTTTGTCTTGGATGACACAATGGCGTGGAGACACAATGCCTTGGAGACACTTTGTCTTGGAGACACTATGTCTTGGACACACTTAGTCTTGAGGACAATTTGTCTTAGAGAATCTATGTCTTAAAGGCACTATGTCTTAGAGACATTATATCTTGGAGACACTGTTTCATGGATACAATTTGACTTGGAGACATTTTGTCTTAGAGACACTATATACTTTGGAGACACTTTGTCTTGGAATCGTTAGTCTTGGATACGTTTTATGTTAGAGACACTATGTCTTACGAGACAATATGGCTGGGTATGGAGACACTGTGTTTTGGGGACGGTTTGTCTTTAAGACACTATATCTTGGAGTCTAGTAACCAATATGTCTTGGAGACACTATGTCTTAGAGACACTATGTCTTGGAGTCTTGGAAACACTATGTATTGGAGTCTTGGAGGTACTATGTCTTAGAGACACTATGCCTTGGAGTCTTGAAGACACTATGTCTTGGAGTCTTTGAGACACTATGTCTTGGAGTCTTGAAGACACTATGTCTTGGAGTCTTGATGACACTATGTCTTGGAGTCTTTGAGACACTATGTCGAAACCATTGGAGAAGCCATTGTTGACTAGGAACAACGGCTTCTCCAATGGTTTCGTCGAAGACATCATAAGAAGGAAAGTGAAACGCCATGCAACCTCTGAAGAGACAACTAACACAACACCTATACCCCCTATTAGACTATTTTACAGGAACTTCTTTTCCACAGCCCATAAAACGGAGGAAAGGGTCCCGAAAGATATTGTTGATAGGAACGTTATCCCTACAGACAAAAATCAGATGATACAATTGGTGATTTACTATAAAACCAAAAAAAACGGCCAACCTACTCATGAGAAACTCTCCAGACACAAAGCAGAACGCTTTAAAAGAGACCAACGTGGTCTATGCCTTCAAATGCCCACTTGGGGACTGTAAGCCTCAAAGAACTCAGTATATAGGCAAGACAAAAACATCTCTTTCCAGGCGATTAACGAAGCATAAGCAACAGGGCTCCATTAAGGAACATATAATCTCTTCCCACAACCAAACCATCGCCAGAGAAATCCTAGTAAACAACACAGAAATCATCGATAGATACAGCGATAGCAGACGGCTTGACGTTTGCGAGGCACTACACATCAAAAAGTCAACACCAGCAATCAACAGCCAATTAATGCACAACTATATTCTACCCACCTCAAGACGCACTTCTCAGCCTACTATGCAAGGCCCGATTTGCCTAATAAGCCAAGTTTTCCTGAATTATTATATTTTCTCTAATTTTTTTCTTATGAAATGATAAAGCTACCCATTTCATTATATATGAGGTCAATTTGTTTTTATTGGAGTTAAAATTAACGTAGATATATGACCGAACCTAACCAACCCTACCTAACCTAACCTAGCCTATCTTTATAAGTTAGGTTAGGTTAGGTAGCCGAAAAAGTTAGGTTAGGTTAGGTTAGGTAGGTTAGGTAGTCGAAAAACAATTAATTCATGAAAACTTGGCTTATTAGGCAAATCGGGCCTTGCATAGTAGGCTGAGAAGTGCGTTCTGGCTACTAGGTACGACATATATATATATATATATATATATATATATATATATATATATATATATATATATATAATCAATCTTTGAAAAATGGGAATATATACGCAAAATGGGATTAAATATGCAATCACTGAAAATGGGATTAACTATGTTATCATTGAAAATGGACTTATTGAGAGTGGACTAACACTGGCCTCATTGAAAATTAGGAATAACATAAGGGTGCTGTTTAATCTCCTTGTACAAATTTAGTAGGACGGAAGTATGCAGTCGAGATTGACAGTAAAATTTAAGTAAGATGGACAGGCAAAGTTAATATACACCAAAACCTATAGCCTAACTGGCAGGTAAGTCACAAAGGTTGACTGGCAGGTAAGTCACAGAGGTTGACTGGCAGGTAAGTCACAGAGGTTGACTGGCAGGTAAGTCACAGAGGTTGACTGGCAGGTAAGTCACAGAGGTTGACTGGCAGGTAAGTCACAGAGGTTGACTGGCAGGTAAGTCACAGAGGTTGACTGGCAGGTAAGTCACAGAGGTTGACTGGCAGGTAAGTCACAGAGCTTGAAGGAAAATATTATTACCTAACAAATAATAAATAATAACCTAACCTAACCTAACCTAACCTAACCTTCCGTCCACCTCCCGGCTACCAAAGTCCATACCAACAATATTATTAGCTTGCTAAATATAGGAGCAAACAAAATTTAACAAGGAACAATGGATATAAATTGCTTTTAAATTTAAAAGGGTAAATATTAATTTATATATAATGTTAGAAGATTCATGGTGGGAGCCATGGCTCCGAGAGCCATATTGACGTGGGTTTGCTGGATTACTTCAAGAGAATGTTAAACAAATATATGCGATTAGTCCGATAAATTAGGAGCTGCCTATAGGCATTCACTGTGTCAACAATTCTAGTATCACAACCTACTGTTCTGATCCTTCCCAATCTAAATATTAACTTTCCTTCGTATTATCTCCTACTTTCCTCTCGTGGTGAAGGGCAAGGCTGCCACCAGCAGGTGTGGTGGAGGCCAAGGCTGCCACCAGCAGGTGTGGTGGAGGCCAAGGCTGCCACCAACAGGTGTGGTGGAGGCCAAGGCTGCCACCAACAGGTGTGGTGGAGGCCAAGGCTGCCACCAACAGGTGTGGTGGAGGCCAAGGCTGCCACCAACAGGTGTGGTGGAGGCCAAGGCTGCCACCAACAGGTGTGGTGGATGGCAAGGCTGCCACCATCAGGTGTGGTGGAGGCCAAGGCTGCCACCATCAGGTGTGGTGGAGGCCACGGCTGCCACCAGCATGTGTGGTGGAGGGCAAGGCTGCCACCAACAGGTGTGGTGGAGGCCAAGGCTGCCACCATCAGGTGTGGTGGAGGCCACGGCTGCCACCAGCATGTGTGGTGGAGGGCAAGGCTGCCACCAACAGGTGTGGTGGAGGCCAAGGCTGCCACCATCAGGTGTGGTGGAGGCCAAGGCTGCCACCAGCAGGTATGGTGGAGACCACGGCTGCCACCAACAGGTGTGGTGAAGGCCAAGGCTGCCACCAACAGGTGTGGTGGAGGGCAAAGCTGCCACCAGCAAGTGTGGTGGAGGCCAAGGCTGCCACCAACAGGTGTGGTAGAAGGCAAGGCTGCCACCAACAGGTGTGGTGGCAGACGAAGTGTCAGTAACAGGTGTGTGTGTCTCCCGACAGGTGTGGTGGAAGGGAAGGCCCGCTACCTCTCCCACTACCCGGCCTCTGAGGACTATCCGCCAGACCTGCCTCACCCGGCGGCCCCGGACCACGACGCAGACGTCAAGATGCCAGGTGAGTAGACGTAACTGCTGCTCCAGTTGTACCCTGTGTCCTCGTGTGTCCTCGTGTGTCGTCCTGTGTCCTCGTGTGTCGTCTTGTGTCCTCGTGTGTCCTTGTGTGTCCTTGTGTGTCCTTGTGTGTCCTTGAGTCCTCGTGTGTCCTCGTGTGTCCTCGTGAGTCCTCGTGTGTCGTCCTGTGTCCTCGTGTGTCGTCTTGTGTCCTCGTGTGTCCTTGTGTGTCCTCATGTGTCCTTGTGTGTCCTTGTGTGTCCTCGTGTGTCTTCGTGTGTCCTCGTGTGTCCTTGTGTGTCTTCGTGTGTCCTCATGTGTCCTTGTGTGTCCTCGTGTGTTCTTGTGTGTACTCATTGTGTCCTCGTGTGTCCTTGAGTCCTTGTTTGTCCTTGTGTGTCCTCGTGTGTCCTTGTGTGTCCTTGTGTGTCCTCGTGTGTCCTCGTGTGTCGTCTTGTGTCCTTGTGTGTCCTCGTGTGTCCTCGTGTGTCCTAGTGTGTCCTTATGTGTCCTCATGTGTCCTCGTGTGTCCTTGTGTGTCCTCGTGTGTCCTTGTGTGTCCTTGTGTGTCCTCGTGTGTCCTTGTGTGTCCTCGTGTGTCCTATTGTGTCCTCGTGTGTCTTCGTGTGTCCTTGTGTGTCCTCGTGTGTCCTAGTGTGTCCTCGTGTGTCCTCGTGTGTCCTCGTGTGTCCTTGTGTGTCCTCGTGTGTCCTCGTGTGTCCTTGTGTGTCCTCGTGTGTCCTCGTGTGTCCTTGTGTGTCCTTGTGTGTCCTTGTGTCCTTGTGTGTCCTCGTGTGTCATTCTGTGTCCAAACCTGTCTCCTGAAGCCCACATAAAAAGAATTACATCAGCAGCATGCGCGAGGCTGGCTAACATCAGAACAGCCATCAGGAACCTGTGTAAGGAATCATTCAGACTCTTGTATACCACATATGTGAGACCAATCTTGGAGTATGCGGCCCCAGCATGGAGACCGTATCTTGAAAAAGTTCAGAGGCATGCCACTAGACTAGTCCCAGAACTATGAGGCATGAGTTACGAGGACAGGCTGCAGAAAATGCACCTTACGACACTGGACGACAGAAGAGTGAGGGAAGACATGATCACTACCAACAAAATCCTCGGGGAATTGACAGGGTAGACAAGGATAAAATATTCAACACTGGCGGTACGCGAACAATGGGACACAGGTGGAAACTGAGTACCCTAATGAGCCACAGGGACGTTAGAAAGAACTACTACAGTGTCAAAGTAGTTAACAGGTGGCAGGGTTAACATTAGGCAGAGATGTGGTGAGGCTGAGTCCATACACAGTTTCAAATGTAGATATGATAGAGCCCATTAGGCTCAGGAACCTGTACACCAGTTGATTGACAGTTGAGAGGCGGGACCAAAGAGCCAAAGCTCAACCCCCGCAAGCACAAATAGGTGAGTACAAATAGGTGAGTACACACACACACACACACACACACACACAAACACACACACACACACACACACACACACACACACAAACACACACACACACACACACACACACACACGTGTGTGTGTGTGTGTGTATGGGAGACTTCAACCATAGGAAGATAGATTGGGAGAACAGAGACCCGCATGGAGGACAAGAAACATGGAGAGCTAAGCTGCTGGACGTGGCAACAAGAAACTTTCTAAGCCAGCACATCAAAGAACCAACAAGAATGAGAGGAGAAGATGAACCAGCAATGCTTGATTTGATATTTCAACCTGTTCTCTTAAAAAGAACGTCGCTTTTGGCCGTTTGCCCGTATGTTTACCCTAAATGAGTGGGATATAAGGGAAGTTAAGATGGAAGCGCCCTTGGGAATGAGTGACCAGAGTGTATTGACCTTTGAGTACCTGGTAGAGCTAGGAATTATCTCCCCTAAAAAAGAACTAGGAATCAAAAGGCTGACATACCGAAAGGGGAATTATGAACAGATGAGAAGTTTCCTAAGTGAAATACCTTGGGACACAGAATTCAGAGATAAGTCTGTACAGGGTATGATGGACTATGTTACCCAAAAGTGTCAGGAGGCAGTAAACAGGTTCATTCCGGCCCAAAGGGAAAAATCCGAGAAGCAACAGAAGAATCCATGGTATAATAGGGCATGCATGGAAGCGAAGAAACTGAACAAAAAGGCGTGGAGGAACTTCCGGAATAACAGAACACCAGAAAGCAGAGAGAGATACCAGAGAACCAGGAATGAGTACGTCAGGGGGAGAAGAGAAGCAGAGAAAAGTTTTAAAAATGATATGGCAAACAAAGCCAAGACCGAACCAAAGCTACTCCACAGTCACATCAGAAGGAAAACAACAGTGAAAGAACAGGTATTGAAACTTAGAACAGGCGAGGACAGGTATACAGAGAATGAGAGAGAGGTGTGTGAAGAACTCAACAAGAGGTTCCAGAAAGTCTTCACAATAGAACAAGGTGAGGTCATTGTGCTAGGAGAAAGGGAGGTAAACCAAGCGGCCTTGAAGAGTTCAAAATTACGAGAGAGGAGGTCAAGAGACACCTGCTGGATCTGGATATTAGAAAGGCTGTTGGTCCAGACGAGATCTCACCATGGATACTGAAAGAGTGTGCAGAGGCACTTTGCTTGCCACTCTCCATAGTGTATAGTAAGTCACTGGAGACGGGAGACCTACCAGAAATATGGAAGACGGCGAATGTGGTCCCAATATACAAAAAGGGCGACAGGCAAGAGGCACTGAACTACAGGCCAGTGTCCTTGACTTGTATATCATGCAAGGTGATGGAGAAGATCGTGAGAAAAAACCTGGTAACACATCTGGAGAGAAGGGACTTCGTGACAAATCGCCAACATGGGTTCAGGGAGGGTAAATCTTGCCTTACAGGCTTGATAGAATTCTACGATCAGGTGACAAAAATTAAGCAAGAAAAAGAGGGCTGGGCGGACTGCATTTTCTTGAATTGTCGGAAAGCCTTTGACACAGTACCGCATAAGAGGCTGGTACATAAGCTGGAGAGACAGGCAGGTGTAGCTGGTAAGGTGCTCCAGTGGATAAGGGAGTATCTAAGCAATAGGAAGCAGAGAGTTACGGTGAGGGGTGAGACCTCAGATTGATAGATTGACAGATATTGATGGCTACATGGATGAAACGAAAATGGATAGATGGATGGAAAAATGGACAGATAGATAAATTGATAGAAAAATGGATTAATATATGGATAAATAGTTGAATAGGTAAATGGACATTTAGATGGACAAATAGATAAATAGATAAACAGATAGATAAATAGATAGGCACTTTGGGATAACTTCACCCAAATTCATTGAAATTATGGTCTAGGGGAGCCGGTTGGCCGAGCAGACAGCACGCTGGACTTGTGATCCTGTGGTCCCGGGGTCGATTCCGGGCGCCGGCGAGAAACTATGGGCAGAGTTTCTTTGACCCTATGCCCCTGTTACCTAGCAGTAAAATAGGTACCTGGGTGTTAGTCAGCTGTCACGGGCTGCTTCCTAGGGGTGGAGGCCTGGTCGAGGACCGGGCCGCGGGGACACTAAAGCCCCGAAATCATCTCAAGATAACCTTAAGATAGGGTCCGGGATGAACACAAGGACGTCGGAGTCGTCATAAATCAAGAGAGGACCGCGTGCCAGCGAAACATTCAGACCCCCCTCGGCCATTTTGAGTACAGGCAGCTGTATAACATTGTCAAGTATTTGAAACTGAAAAATTAAAATCACTAATTGTTTATCTGATAACTAGATGAACCCGGCCACGCGTTGCTGTGGCTCAGCAACGCGTGTGCTTTGCCGAGTCACAGCAACCTTTCCCTGTTCCCCAGTCCTCCCCACCATTTCCCCCCTCCCCCGTCCCCTCGTCCTCCTAACCATTCCCCGCTCCCCTCTTCCCTTGTCCTCCCCACCATTCTCCATTCCCCTGTCCCCTCGTTCCCACCATCCCCTCGTCCTCCCAACCACTACCCCATCCCCTGTCCCCCTTGTCCTCCCCAACATACTTCTCTCCCGTCTCCTCATTCTCCCCATCAGTCCTCACTCCCTCGTCCGATGGATTCCCAAATGATCTGATGTTCCCATCAGAAAATTGGGAACATCGAATGATCTCATGATCCCATCACTGAAATATAAGAAAAACAGTTAAAAAAACGAAATGAAAAAAAAATAAAAATAAATTATACCCACAAAATGAAAGGTATGATAAACAACACAGCTCTATTCCAAAGCAATGTCATATAAAATAATTAAATCAAGTTGAAAATAAATTGAAATTTATGAAAATTCAATTTATCAATGTAATCAGAAACATTGAAATGGAATCAAATAATATTTATTACAGTGTGTGTGTGTAGCTCTTACGTCCAATAGATGGCACTGTTTTTCAAAAACACATGTTTTTTTCCTGTCACAGATGAGGCATGTATATAGTAGGTATATAAAAATACGCGGCTATTCGAATGCAACGTTGTGTCAAAATTTCAAAGCAATCGGTAAGAAGGTTTCGAAGATTTCCCTCACATGAAAAACACAGTTTTTCCAAAAAATATGTTTTTCCAATCACAGACGTGACATCTATATAATATGGATATAAAACCCCGCTCGGATGCGAGTGGAACATTGTGTGAAAATTTCAAAGCAATCGGTGAAGAACTTTCTGATATTAGCGAATTTGAACATTTATATTTATATAGATAATATGAAACATTATACACTGATGCTGGGAATATTAATAGATTATTTTGTTATATTCATCATACCAGCTCAGCTCAGTCGCCTTAGAAGCATAATGATGTCTAAGCTTTGGTTGGTAAAGTCCAGCTTGGTTGTCTTAGGTTCTGTACACTGCCTGCTTAGGTGAGGTGGATTGTATATGTTCATAGAGACACACTCTCACTAGGTTTATATTTTCTAACACCGGGTTTATATTCTCTAACACCGGGTTTATATTCTCTAACACCGGGTTTATATTCTCTAACACCTGGTTTATATTCTCTAACACCGTGTTTATATACTCTAACACCGGGTTTATATTCTCTAACACCGGGTTTATATTCTCTAACACCGTGTTTATATACTCTAACACCGGGTTTATATTCTCTAACACCGGGTTTATATTCTCTAACACCGTGTTTATATTCTCTAACACCGGGTTTATAGTCTCTAACACCGTGTTTATATTCTCTAACACCGTGTTTATATACTCTAACACTGGGTTTATATACTCTAACACCGGGTTTATATTCTCTAACACCGGGTTTATATTCTCTAACACCGGGTTTATATACTCTAACACCGGGTTTATATTCTCTAACACCGTGTTTATATACTCTAACACCGGGTTTATATACTCTAACACCGGGTTTATATTCTCTAACACCGGGTTTATATACTTTAACCGGTTTTATATACTCTAACACCGTGTTTATATTCTCTAACACCGTGTTTATATACTCTAACACCGGGTTTATATACTCTAACACCGTGTTTATATTCTCTAATACCGTGTTTATATACTCTAACACCGGGTTTATTGAAACGCTTATTTTTATTTAAAAATAATAATTCTTTACAGCTGGACGTCAACGAGGCGTGGCTTGGTCAGGGAGAGTGTGCTGGCTCACACACCATAAATGCTGTACTGATTGTCGTCAGTGTTCTTGGGGTGGACGGTAGAGCGACGGACTAGCCTCTTGCAGGTCGGCGGTCAAACTCTAACCGTCCAAGTTATGGGGCACCATTCCTATTCCTTCGTCCTGTCCTCACTCCTTAATCTCTTACCCCTTCCCAGTAGCATATAGCACTTTCTCCTGATAGTTATCTTTGCTATCGTCAGTTGTATAATATAATATTAACTGCCACATGGGCGTTGCCATAGTTACTGCTGTGGTAATCTTCACACAGGACTGTACGAGCCAGAACTGTTATCTTCACACAGGACTGTACGAGCCAGAACTGTTATCTCCACACAGGACTGTACGAGCCAGAACTGTTATCTCCACACAGGACTGTACCAGCCAAAACTGTTATCTCCACACAGGACTGTTATCTCCACACAGGACTATACCAGCCACAACTGTTATCTCCACACAGGACTGTTATCTCCACACAGGACTGTTATCTCCACACAGGACTGTACTAGCCAGAACTGTAATGGTAGTGTTATCTCCAACGAGTCCCAGATCTCAGTAGTTACAATGAAACTTTTGTCTTCTGACAGGACGCTACTTCCCAAAACTGCCCTACGCCAGGCCTTACTTAGAGGTGCCCAACCAGCTCTACAATCACCACCATCGCCAGAACCCCCACGAACGCTACCAGCATCACCACCACTTCCAGCAACAGCCATCACCACCGCACGCCACCACCACATCACACCACCACCACCACCACCACCATCATCATCACCATCATCACAACATCGACGCCCCCATGAAGCAGCGGCGGGCGAGCACGCAGGAGGATGCTGGCGGAGGCGACATATTCGGTGTGGCGGAGGAGGAGGAGGGAAGAGATCAGAGGGTGATAGCAGTGAGAGGCAGCAGTGACAGCTTCCTGGACCAGCCTCAGGAAGACCCTACTCTTGGGCCTCCTCCAGGACCCACCTTCGACCATAACTTACCCAGGAACATCACAATACAGTCAGGCAAGACGGCGGTGCTCTCGTGCAGAGTCTTCAATGCCAACGATAAGTCGGTAAGTCTTTCAAGAGTTTTCTTATATTGGCTGATTTTGTCTTTCACGATGGGAGGGTAGCGAGTCCACTATCACCACTCTGCCTGTGTGCAGTGCTATGGTTTTCGTTAGTTTGGTTTCTGTGAGTGCTATTATCTCTGGGTTTTCTTCTTGTGCCCATTCTCCAAGCTCACTCACTCTATTTGTGACCCCGTCTGTGTTTGCGTACATCATCTTGACGCTCTCTTTCTTCTGTCCATTCATGTTTCCTCTCCTCCTTGGTGGGCTTCCTGCTGCTGGAGGCAGTTGGCCCATTGGTGTGGAGATTTGTGCGATGGTTAACAGGGCTTTGGAGGATTCCGGGCAGCGGGGTAGGGAAGAGAGGATAGGGAGATTATATATAGGGGTAGGGAAGAGGGGACGTCGTCACCTGTCAGTGGGTTAACCTTGTCTCACTCGTCACCTATAAGTAGTTAACCTTGTCTCACTCGTCACCTGTAAGTAGTTAACCTTGTCTCACTCGTCACCTGTCAGTAGTTAACCTTGTCTCACTCGTCACCTGTAAGAAGTTAACCTTGTCTCACTCGTCACCTGTAAGTAGTTAACCTTGTCTCACTCGTCACCTGTCAGTGGGTTAACCTTGTCTCACTCGTCACCTGTAAGTAGTTAACCTTGTCTCACTCGTCACCTGTAAGTAGTTAACCTTGTCTCACTCGTCACCTGTAAGAAATTAACCTTGTCTCTGTGTTTTTAACTTTGCACCAAATTATTGTGAAGAGAACAGTTAGTTTCATCACTACCCAAAAAGTACAGATTCATGAATTTGCTCTTCCTGTGCAAATAATATTTTCACGCATGTTTTAAGTGAAATATATATCAAAAGGGAATGGGGTGGTAGGAGAAAAGCACACAGAAGCTGTATTAGAGGGGACCTAAACATTCCCTCTAATGCGTTATGTGTGGTTTCCTCCGAGGCTATGGGTCCCCCTTCTTCCAGCCAGAGGTGGTACTCCCTTCCTTATATCTATATATAAATAAAAATGGTAATGTCTGTTTGTGCATAACCGCTAATCTCCGAAAGTTCTTCACCGATTGCTTTCAAATTTTCACACAACGTTCCATTCGCAGCCAAGCAGGTTTTTTTTTTATACATACTATATAGATGTCACGTCTGTGACGATAAAAAAAGACATGCTTTTTCTGAAAACTGTGTTTTTTCATGTGTTTTTCATATGAGGGAAATATTCGAACCCTTTTTACCGATTGCTTTAAAATTTTGACTCAACGTTCCATTCGAATAGGCGCGTGTTTGTATATACCTACTAAATTCCTGAATCACCTGTGACAAGAAAAAAACATGCTTTTTTGAAAAGCAGCGCCATCTGTTGGGCAAAAGAACAACACACGCTATGTTCCGAAAGTTCTTCACCGATTGCTTTGAAATTTTAACACAGTATTCCATTCAAATACACGTTTGATTTTATATACCTACTATATAGATGCCACATCTGTGACAGATAAAAACATGCTTTTTTGAAAAACAGTGCCATGTGTTGCATGCAATAGCAACACATGCTATACTAAATATGTTACTATTCTATTTCAATGTTTCTGATTGCATTGATAAATTGAATTTTCATAGATTTCGATTTTTTTAATTTTGATTTAATTATTTTGTGCGACATTGCGTTAGAACTGAGCTGTGTTGTTTACCATACCGTTCATTTCGTAAGTATATTTCTTTTTTATTATTATTATTTTGTAGCTGTTTTTCTTATATTCCAGTGATGGGAACATCTAAATCATTTGAGGTTCCCAATTTTCTGATGGGAACATCAGATCATTTGGGAATGCGTCGGACGAGGGAGTGGGGAATGGAGGGGAGGACGAGGGGGACGGGAGTGGGGGATGGTGGGGACGATGCAGGGACATGGAAGGGGGTAATGGTGGGAAAGATTAGGGGATAGGGGAGTTGGGAATGATGAGGATGAGGGGGACAGGGTAATGGAGAATGGTGGGGAGGACAGGGGGGGGGGAGTGGGGGATGGTGGGGAAGAAAAAGAGACGGGGGATGGGGGGAAGGATCATGGGATGGAGGAGTGAGGAATAGGTGAGTGGACGACGGGACGGGGGAGTAAGGAATGGTTAGGAGCTCGAGTGGACGGGGGAGGGGGGGAACGATGGGGAGGACTGGGAGATGTGTTGCTGAGCCACAACAACGCTTGGCCAAGTACAGCTAGTATGTATAAATATGTATATATATATATATATATATATATATATATATATATATATATATATATATATATATATATATATATATATATATATATATATATTATATATATATATATATATATATATATATATATATATATATATATATATATATATATATATGCCATATAGGATTATAGAGAACAGTAGTATAATCCTTGATTAAGACGTGCAGCTGCGAGTAACGTTAACATACTGGGCATAGCGGAGGATGTGTCTCATCAATTTAGAACATAACAATACCTGGTCCATTACACGCGAGGTAATCACATTACCTTTGGTCAGAGATATGCTGTATATGGTTCTGTTTACCTCTGTCTGTGTCTCTCTCTATCTCTCACTCCTCTCTCTATCACTCTTCCTTCTCTCTCTGTGTCCATATCTCACTCTTCCTCTATCTCTGTCTTGGTTCTATCTCTTGGTTCCCCCTCTATCTTTCACTGTTTCCTCTATATCATTCTCTATCTCTTGTTTCCTCCCCCCCCTTATCTCACTCTTTCCTATATCTCTGTCTTTGTCTCTCACTCCTCCCTCCATCTCTGTCTCCAACTCTTCCCTCTTTTTTCTCTCCTCTTCTTTCAATCTCAGTCTCTATCTCACTCTTCTTTCTATCTCAGTCTCTATCTCACTCCTTTCTCTATCTCTCGCGTCGGTCTTGCTTCATGCAGGTCGGCGTATAATTCCCGATCATCCAAGTAGTTAGGCACCATTACTTCCCACTGTCTCATCCAAATCTTTATCTTGGCTCCTTCCTTGCAACCTGTCCTCTTAAAAATAACGTCGCTTTTGGCCGTTTGCCCGTATGGCCGAAAGTGGACGTAATTTGAAAACGAAAAATAAATGAAAATGAATTTGGGATTTTTTTTCAACAACAGTAAGTTAAGGGTCTTCTGATAGGTTAGGTGGGCAGGAAATTCTCATAAAGTTTCAAAACGTTATGAAAAACGTCAATTGAATGTTTCCTCTTCTAACCTTACCGAGTAGGCCGGACGACTTAAGCAGAAAACGGGACAGTACGTAACTTTTGTGAGTCGATTTCATTTCAAACTACGTCCACTTTTGGCCATAGCGGCGCATACGAGCCAAAAGTGACGTTATTTTTAAGAGGACGGGTTGTTCCAAGTGCAATAGAGTGGTAATGGCTTGGCGCTTTCTCCTGATATTTCCCCCTTGCTTCTATATCTCACTCCTTCCTTCATCTCTCACTCTTCTCTGTCTCTGTCTCTATCTCTCAGTTTTGCCTCTATCTCTTCCCGCCAAACACACACCGAAACTACGACGTTGCTACAACGTTCGAACAAGTTTTAACACCTCCTAAACCAGTTATAACAACCAATATAACAAGTTGTAACAACGTTCTAAAACGTCATAAACACGTTAAGCCAAGATGTAACAACTTTATTACAAGTTGTAACGAGCGGAAAATAGAGATAGTTACGGTTTGTGTTTCCAGGGTTCCTCTGCCTTCTTATTGTTGAAACAGGAACTCTAGACCGTGAGAGTTGTGTAGGTGTGGCCAGTGGAACTATAAGGAGTACCAAGGGTGAGTATACTCTGGCCAAGGGTGAGTATACTCTGGCCAAGGGTGAGTATACTCTGGCCAAGGGTGAGTATACTCTGGCCAAGGGTGTGTACCCTGGCCAAGGGTGAGTATACCCTGGCCAAGGGAGGGAGCCGGTCGGCCGAGCGGACAGCACGCTGGACTTGTGATCCTGTGGTCCTGGGTTCGATCCCAGGCGCCGGCGAGAAACAATGGGCAGAGTTTCTTTCACCCTATGCCCCTGTTACCTATCAGTAAAATAGGTACCTGGGTGTTAGTCAGCTGTCACGGAGCTGCTTCCTGGGGGTGGAGGCCTGGTCGAGGACCGGGCCGCGGGGACACTAAAAAGCCCCGAAATCATCTCAAGATAACCTCAAGATAACCTGTTGTCACGTGTCAGGTCAGCTGAAGCATCATCCTAGAAGCTGATTAAAATGATTATCACATGATTTATATCCACCAGGAGTAACCTAAATGTAATGGTACTTGGTACTAAAGTGTAATCATGCACGGTGGCAGGGCCACTGTGCATGATTACGGACGTGAGACAAAGGTGAGTCAGCCTGAGTATGAATGATCGCTGGTAATGTTCGTGAGAAACTCAGCAAAATAACAGCACTAATGTGGAAGAAATATTACAAAATGCAGAATAGATACAGGGAAAAGTTTAGGTGCCATAGGCACGATCAGAGACCAATGTGTGAATGTCCTGGAGTTCTACTGAACACACGAGGGTTTCCTGAGGCTTCAGCTGTAGCTGGACCAGGATGTTCACACAATATTCCCCCCCTCCTCCCCCCCCCCATGCACTCTGGCTCTGTCATCCAGGAATGTTCTACCTCAACTACCTACCATGCGGTGTATGACTGGGAACTCCCGCCGCACAGGTTCGAACCCTCATCACGGCTCCAACGGATTTTTTCATTGATACACCACGTTAGTGTGAATACTCTCGGTGTGTAATAATAATAATAATAATAATAATAATAATAATAATAATAATAATAATAATAATAATAATAATAATCTTTTTTCAAAAAAATAAGTCTACAAAAAACATAGGAGTAAAGTTCAATTGTAGGGACAGACAAACATTTAACTAAAGGTGTGAGGGGGGGGGGTAAACACTTAACACTAAAGATGGAGTAAGTTAACAAGGTGAGAACGTTCAGGGAAAATAACAAATGCAAAAAGAAGAATGCAA